GTTTCAACAATAGCTGTTTTCAAAATTCATAAAAATTTAATCACAATGTCGAACAGAAAGAAATCTAATAACCAGGTGATTCAGATATCAGGTAACTAAGTTAAGCTTAACAGTTCTCTCAACTTCAAACCATACCCGCCAAATGAAATTCAACAACAGTTATTTCCCAAATTTTATAATTTTTATTCAAAACGTCGAACAGAAAAAAATCTGATAACTCATGTGATTCAAGTACATAACCATCAAACCGGGTTTCAACAATAGCTGTTTCCAAAATTCATAAAAATCTAATCACAATGTCGAACAGAACGAAATCTAATAACTCAGGTGATTCAGATGTCAGGTAACCAAGTAAACCTTAACAGTGCTCTCAACTTCGAACCATAACCACCAAATAGAATTTCAACAACAGTTATTTCCTAAATTTCACAAGGCTTAACAGTGTTTCATAAGGCTTAACAGAACGCCGAACAGAAAGAAATTTGATAACTCAAGTGATTCAGGTAACAGATAACCATATAAAGCTTAACAGTGTTTCAGTTTTAAGTTTTCAAAATTTGATTCGTATGACACTATTTGGAAAAAGTGATGTATTGATTTGATCCTATAATCAAGATTTTCAGTAAAATTACTATCAAATTAGCAAATCATTTTTAAATATACTTATAACAAATGATATTAGTGCTCCCAAATGGTGAAGGAACAGTAAAGTTTCCTGTTTGATCATGAAACCCAAATCAGAAGCCCAAATCCCTTTTTAGGTTTATTTGGAAATTTCAAGCCCAAATAGCAACACAAAATACAATTCCAAAATGATCACGTCCCGCCGATCACCAGGGTTGGTCGATTTACTTTCTCTCTAAAGAAGACGATCGACCGCTTCCCGGCGATTGTTAACGATCCTCTTCCCTTTTTTTAAGGCTGCGAATTCTCTCTCTCCGGCGAAATCAAGCTTGTAAGTTTCTCCCTGCTGTTCTTTTTTCTAGATTTGTTGCTTTCATTTTTTCGGTAGATTATAAAAAAAAGCCCTAATTTTTTTCAGTGATTTGTACTGGTGTTGTTGTGTTTTGAGTGAATTGGAGAAAAACTGTTTGTGTTTTGATGCAGATGCGAGATTCTTTTTGACTGTTGCATAGCTATGTCGGTTAACAATAATAATAACCCTAACAAGAATATCGGAGGACCATCTTCCTTTGGCAATTCACCGCCGGGGAATCCGATGGCACATCTCCAGGCACAATCACAAGGCCAGCAACAGATGCCTTCAGGGTTTCCTGGGGCATTTCAGCTATCGCAGCTATCTGCTGCACATGCCCAAGCAATTGCTCAAGCTCAGTCGAAAGTTCAGGCTCATGCGCAAGCTCAAGCACAAGCTCAAGCTGCTCATGCCCAGTTTCAGGCCCAGTTACAGGCTCAGGGTTTATCTCTTAGCCAGGCTCATGCTCTTGGCAATTTTGGTTCTTCCTCACCCTCGATGCCTGGAAGTGCTTTGGCAAAACGCTTACCTCAGAAACCTCCTGTGCGGCCACCTGCATTCACAACTACTAACACAATTTCTCCAATGAGAACAATGGAGCTTTCAGCGGCTGCTCGTAGGAAAAAGCAGAAGCTTCCTGAGAAGCACATGAACGAGAAGGTGGCAGCCATTTTGCCTGAATCTTCCCTTTATACTCAGCTCCTTGAGTTTGAATCTCGGGTTGATTCCGCTTTAACAAGAAAGAAAGTTGACATCCAGGAGTCATTGAAGAATCCACCTACTATTCAGAAGACGCTTCGAATTTATGTATTCAATAGTTTTGCTAATCAGGTTCGTACCATTCCTAAGAAGCCAACAGCTGAACCTCCTACATGGACTCTTAAGATTGTAGGAAGGATTTTGGAGGAGGGAATGGATCCTGATCAAGCTGCCATGTTTCAGAAAACTAGCTCCATGTACCCAAAGTTCTCTACTTTCTTCAAAAGAGTCACCATTTCCTTGGACCAGAAACTCTATCCTGATAACCATATTATAATTTGGGACTCTGCGCGATCTCCTGCACCTCAGGATGGTTTTGAGGTCAAAAGAAAAGGAGAGCAAGAGTTCACTGCTAATTTAAGACTAGAATTGAATTACATGCCTGAGAAATACAAACTTTCACCAGCTTTAACTGAAGTTCTGGGTATTGAGGTTGAGACTCGTGCTAGAATTGTCTCTTCTATCTGGCATTATGTTAAGGCTCGAAAGTTGCAGAACCCTGATGATCCTTCTTACTTCAACTGTGATCCTCCACTTCAGAAAGTTTTTGGGGAAGGAAAGGTTAAGTTCAATACAGTCACACAAAAGATCACACCTCATTTGTCTCCTCCACAACCCATACATTTGGAACACAGGATTAAGCTTTCTGGAAATAACCCTGTTGGAACTGCTTGTTACGATGTATTGGTTGATGTGCCATTCCCTATCCAGAGGGAGCTGAATGCTTTGCTTGCCAATACCGAAAAGACCAAAGAGATTGAAACTTGCGATGAAGCAATTTGTTCTGCTATAAGGAAGATCCATGAACATAGAAGGAGAAGGGCTTTTTTTCTGGGTTTTAGTCAATCCCCTGTTGAGTTTATTGATGCACTTCTAGAATCCCAGAGCAAGGACCTGAAAGTTGTTAGTGGGGAGCCAAGTCGCAATGTTGAGAAGGAGCGCCGGTCTCAGTTTTACAGCCAACCATGGTATTTACTAATTCTTTGCCTCCTGCTGCTAATTATTACTTGCCCTTGCTATATAGTAATTTTGTCATTGGAAGTTAAATTGCTTATTACCATATGGAGTAGCTTCATATTTGAAGTTTCAGAAATTTGGTACGAAATACAACAATTTTCACCTAGGACAAAAGTTATACAACATTTAAATTATTCCCCACTGATGTTTTATCTCAGCTAATGATCAAATTAGAAAATCATTTCAATTCTGATTCTATGGAAACTCAAGTTTCATTTTTGCCGGTCTAAATTGAGAGTGGGTGGCGTTCAGTAGGCAGTACTTTGCTTATTGTTTCATGTGATTTTGTTGCAGGTCATGTCATTTTTTGTTTTACTTCATCGCGTCAACTTCCTTTCTTGTTACTTACTTCTAATTTTAAGATAATGTTTTAACTAAAGGTGTTAAAGAATTTTTTCTAGTACTTCCTGCCTTTTAAGTTACCAGCACAGATGTCCTATGGAAGGTTATCATTTATCAAAGAAGTTAAATGTGCATTAAAAGGTTCTTAATATTACTCAAAATCAAACTTATACTGGCTAAAGAAAGGAGGGCTTTCAAGAAAAAATTAACCAAACGGGACAATTTTTTTGTTGGTGTAATCAACCCTTTTATTCAAGACATTGTGGACCTCATCACGATATCTTTCCCCTTGTTGGTGGTGCAAAATTATGCAGTGTTGAACTGATGTTTGGAGATGCTGCTAATGGAGATTGTTTTTTATTGCCAGGGTTGAGGATGCTGTTATCCGCTACCTGAATCGCAAGCCAGCTGCTGCTGATGCCCCTGGAAGTGGATGAGCTGAACTGGATCCTTGCCTGGTGTCATTGTTATCTCAAATAGTCAGGAATGTAGGTTTTGGGTGGGGTACAGGGAAGAATTCTTGTGAAAGAAGCCATAAACTATGTTTGGTTGTTCTTAGCATCTCCCTGTGTTATGAATAGGTGTTCAGTATTTCTATTTTCATAATTGGAAAAAAAAAACTTAAAACTTTGTTGCTATGTGCTACAAAACATGTAAAAGTGTAGGATATCTGGATGCGTTAATGTCTGATGATAGGACTTAAATTATCGATCTTCATTAGCATTCCATCTTTGTTTGATTACTGTATTCAGTGTTTGTTACCGTTCATTTTTTTCCATCGTTCCCTTGTCCTGGCCAGCCCCAGTAGCATCTTCTTTTTCACCCGGTGTCCAGTATCCATTTGGTAAATTCATGTCAAAGGTAAAGCGCTCCCACTAATCTTGTCTCCCAGTTCAACTGCTTGTTCTCATTTGGTTTGGTTTGAAAAAGTTTTTTGATTTGCTTCTGGTAAAAGTACTTTCAACTGACGATTGCTGAGAATCTTGTGTTGCGTGGAATGTTTCCTTTGAAAAGTTTCTCGAAAATGGACTCCAGTTTGACAGACGATGATGTAAGATTACTTAAAAAGCAGAGGCTACCTTATTCATGCTCTTTTCTTATTGTTGTCCTGGTTTCTAACCAATTTTAGCGGATGAAGATCATGATAAAACCAATTATTCATAAAAAATTTACTTGATTAATCTATTAATACAAATTAATCTACTGTATTTCGATTTAAGTCTGCTTAGCGACATTTTCTTCCTTAAAACAATAAAAAATAATTTAAGTTAAATTTCTCATCTTTTTCATTATCGGTGGTGAAACTCAGTAGGTGTAGGCATAAATATTAAAAAATCAGATCGGATTAAATTTTTTTGATTTTTTGGTGTCTTGATTCGATGTCGGGTTTTTTTTTTGATTCTTCAGTTTGAAATTTGGTGTAAGGTCCCGAACTACGGTGCAGAATTGAGGCTTTATTAAAGAAATTTTAAATATATTATATACTTAAATTTTAACTTTACTTGGCTCATTTCAATTTTTATATTTAAAAGTCTAAATTTAAATAACAAAATGGTAAAACCTAAAGACCAAACTAAACTCAATTTAATTCAATTTTGAGCTGCAACATGGTGTTTCTACTTTATGTTTTTATCATTTTATATTGTTACTTTGAAGTCTAAACAATAAATTAATGTTCTAACCTTTTATTGTTGTAACTTTGAAATTTGAAATGTGAAGTGAACAACGATAGTTGCTTTATTATATTCTCTCTTTATTTTTAGTCATGCCAAAAAATCAATCTAAAAACACCAAATTAAAATTGAATTGAAGTAGAAAATCGAACTGAACCGATCTAATTTGAATTGAAGCATCGTATATACTTTTTTAAAACAGAATACTATAAAAATCAAACCAAAATTTAATTAAATCAAAACCGAAGCTCATCCGGTTAAAGAAAGAAAAGAAAAGGTCTTTATCGAAAGGAGAGAGAGGAACAGTGTCGTACATCTTTTTCTGTCTACTCGCCGGTTTATCTATTTATTTTTTATTTAAAAAAGGGAAATTAGAAGTTTCCAGACGCAGCTTGATTGGGGGTAGGGCTGGAAGATATAGGCGCGAAGCTTCAATCAGATTATCGGGTTTTCTTAGCTCAACAAAAATATGTAATTTCTCCTTCTCCAAACTTACGGTTTTGGTATTATTTATCTGTTAAAAATCATGATTTTTGTTTAATACTTATGGTTTTGTGAATTGTAATGAGTAGGAGGCATTCGGTGAATCGTCCACCAACACCTGATACACGGGATGAACAAGAAAAGGAGCCTACACTTAAGGAAATTATCAACATTAAGGTAAATTTTTAGTCCTTTTTAGATTAGTTGTGTGGGTCTTTTTTTAAAAAAAAATGTTTGATGATTTGCTTTTTTAGTTGATTGAAAGTGGGGAAAAGGAAAGATTAATGGAGCTTTTGAGGGAAAGGCTTGTTGAGTCTGGGTGGAAGGATGAAATGAAAGCTCTTTGTAGGTAATGTATCTCTCTGTGACCTTGTTTCAAACACTTGGAAGGATGAATTGTTGTTTAGTGTTCTCCAAATGAGTTAGCTATGTGTTTTGATCTGTTTTTCAGCAATTGGTGCCTTGGCCTTTGCTACAATGAACCCCAGATAGGAAGTTTATTACTTTTCTTGTTTTGTTGGCATGTGAAAACTTTAATGCTTATTTGACAATCTTGTTATGTTGATTTTTATGGCAAGTGAAAATGCAATTGTGTGTACTACATCCGTGCTTTGCATTCTAGAGGTGCATGTGGTTCAGTTCTCATCAGGACTTTTCATCCCTCTTCCCTCATCCCAGGCTTTCCACGCCCCTTAGACCCCAAATGGTGCTAGGCAAGAAAGGCAAGTTATTTAAGTTTTTCATACTACTTGAACAATAAAACCACCAACAAGTAAGGTGTTCTAAGTTCCTACCGCTGCTTTTACTCTAATAATTGATTGCTTTCGACACACTGATATTAGTGTCTTTTCTGTCTTAAACACACCAACCCTCCTCACAGCATCCCCCTCCTTCCCAAACCAGAAAAAAAAAAGAAGGAAAGAGAACCTTTTTTCTAATAACCATGGTCTGTTCTAGCTTGCATGTAGCTTAGCTATTTCCATGGGATACCTGCTACCTCTCACCAGCACAGGTGTTCTCCATGGCTAGACAGATGGGAAGAAATCACTTAGTGTTTTCATTCTTAAAAGAAAAAGATCACCTTGTGTTTTTGTCTCCGCTGGAAATTGGACCATGAGAAAATTGAACATGAAATCTCATGGTTCTCAACCCAGTCCATGCTCTTGGGTGCACAAGAACCTTTTCCCCTGCTTTTGACCCTAATTCTACTTAAATCAGTGTTGACACCCCAACTAGTTCTAATTCAACTAGTGAAAATTAAAAGGAAGAAACTCTATTATCCTAATTCTAAAATCCAATTATCGAACCTCTCTAATCAGATGGTTACCCTGAATTATTTTAGAAGTAATAAACTTTTGTTTTGTAGTTCCAAAACCCCGACAAAAGATGTCACAAGATGTTTTTTCATTCAACCAGGCATGCATATTAAAAGATAGTTAAATTGGAAATGTTTAATTTTTCAAAAAAAAATTAAATTGGAAAGACAAGTTCAAGAAGTGACAATCCTCCAGCTCTTTTTTTTGGACAAGAGGAGGTTGCTCGGATGGTAAGCACCCTCCACCCCCAACCCTGAGGCTGTGGATTCAAGTCACCTTAGGGAGCAAAACGGATGGGAGCTCCTAGGGAGGAGTTAAAAAGAAGAAGGGGTTTTGAAGGTAAGAGTTCTAGAGGGAAACTAGATGATGAGTAGAAAGAAGAGAGATGGACTCCCTTGAAAAATAAAACTAAAAGAACTTCCTCAGAAAAGGAAGGGATAGAGATGGTAGGGGTATGAGGGGCCTAAGCAAGGAAGGGAAGTGAGGATATGAAGCATGGCAAAAGAGGATGTATGGAGGAGGAGAAGAATGGATAAGGGAGTCTGAAGGGAATGACTAGAAGGTAGTTGAAGGTACAATTGAGGGTTGCAAGTCTGCTGAAAAAAAAGACTCACAGAATTAGTAAGGCAATTTGCCAAAGTAGGATGGGGAGGGTTGGAGGAATAGTTGTGGGATATGGTTGGGAAGGGGCGGAAATAGGAGAAGAAAACATACAAAATAAGGGTAGTGGAAATGCTTGACTTGTTTGATTAGTAGCAGAGATTTTATTCTATTTGAAGAAAGGGAAAAAGTATCACTTCTTCCCCAAATTAACTACTTTAAGCTGGCGTCGATGGTAAAGTTGTGTATTTTGACAATATGCTTTTGTTAAATTATGTGGTATTTTGTGGCCAAAAACCTAATTGTTTAGTGATACTCTATTTTTTCTTTTAAATTTGAAAATTATGTTAGCTATCAATTTTGATTTGGAGATTACAGCCAACTTGGGGGTACTTTGCTGTGGCTAAACTTGAGTTGTATATGAGGGAGAAGGTACATCAGTTCAGTAGTGAAAGGTTATTTAGTTAGATGATGTAAGAGAAAGGGGAGGGGGGTGGGTATTTAATAATACAGGGAAAGCAAAATGTCATAAGAACCAAGAACTCTCGTTCTAGCTATCCTTGTGTTGCAAGTTCTCTTTGTTTTTTTTATTGTCCTGTTTTTTATTTATGGTCCTAATTATTATAAGGTTTGGTGGAGCTATCTTGGAGAAAAAGTTTTGTTTATGTGGCGAGGGTGACAACTATTTGTCTCAATCTTTCAGTTCTTGATATGCACTTGTTTGTGTCTGAGGGTACTTAAAAATAAATTTTTCAAGTTATGACCATATTTGTTCATCTTCTATGATCGTTGTTTTCTGTTTGTTATTCTGTACATATAGCCACCAAATTTTCATTTTGACATGTAACCTTTGTCACATTTGTTCTCTATCAACACTAGGGAGTATATAAAGAAGAAAGGACGGAACAATATAACCATTGACGACCTTGTACATGTGATTACCCCAAAAGGCAGAGGTAAGGGCTTTGTATTTACTTTTGCTTTCTTTCAATACACACATACACACACCTGAAAAAGGAATGGCTATATATATGCTTAAAAGCTATTCCTTCTGCTTAATCTTCTAACTTTTCTTAAGCAACAAAAGAGCATTGATGTTGACATATTCCCTTGAGTAAACGTCATTCCAAATTCTTATTCATTTTCTGATTTTTGGATGTATTAGATGTTGCTCTTGCATTGCCTACATTTGATTATATGTAATTGTTGTTATCCTTGCTAAACTTCTCTGCTTCTTATTTGGAATGTTGCAGCTTCAATTCCTGATCCGATCAAAGCTGAATTGCTTCAGAGAATTCGTACATTTCTTGTTTCTCCCACTCTCTGATTCAACAGCTTCATGCATGAAGAGGGTAGCAATATAGGTGAAGATGTGGCATTATGTTTGACTCATTTCATCTTGGAACATCGTTTGTCTAGATTATGACCACGATGAGGAAACCAGGAGCCATATGAGAAGATGTGCTATTGGCAGTTTGCTTGTACCAAGTTTCGTAGAACTGTATAAATTGCTACTTGGTGGTTTTATGTTGATGGCCCAGGTTCAGAGTTTGATCACTACATGACCCTCACCTTTTAGTGGCTAAACTATCTGTTATCTGGTTGTCCCTAGTTTTAAGAAAGTGTAGTTTTATTGAGATGCCTGCTCCTCAGCAGAATCCCTGCTCTTCTTTTGTGTGTACTTTACTCATGTGTTCTTCGTATTAGTGAAAGCCAGTTGGTTGTGTGTTCTCTCTAGCTTGGTTCTCCGTCGTACTTGCCTCTGTGTTCTGTGTGTCTTCCCAAATCTTTGCAACCCAAGCGCCAAAGTGTGAGGGATTTTAACATCTTGTTAGGCCATATATAGGTAACAGGCCATATTGTTTTTAAGCATAATATGATGGTAAGATCAATGAGCAACTTTGTCACGTCAAAGCAAATTTTCTTGAGGCGCTTGGCTATTTTTCTGACTGCGGTGCTCAGTGCAGTAGTTTCCCCGTTGGTCACAGCCAGACTTGCTGTTGTAACTTACTACCTTCATTGACATTTCACAAAACATTTTTCATTATAGATAAAACTAGAAGTTTAAATTATCTCATTGTGGATGAAACACGAAATCTAAATCCAATATATATATATATATATATAGAGAGAGAGAGAGAGAGAAGAATGTACCTTCTTGAAACAACAAAAAGATAAAAATATAAAATGTATTTACTGAAATGAGGCATAGGAATAATACTGCATTTGATTTTAGGCTTTCATCTCTACTCAATCTGTGTTTTATTATGAGGAATCAAAAGATAAAGTGTTTATGGCAATTTCAGTACATAGGGAAATGAAATCATTTTGTATGTATTAAATTAAATGGATCATTCATATTTTCTTTTCTTTTCTTGAATGCGTTAGTAACTTAATATGATCTTCAACCTATTTAAGTTTATACAAATGAGAAATTTTCATATATAGCCACTTAAAAATAGCCTAATTACTTTCTGTAGCTATAGTTTGATAATTACAACTCATAGCTACATGTTATCTGAAGGAGAGAGGCGTGAGAGACTTGGAGAGTGAGGAGAGGCGAGATAGAGAGGAAAAGAGTGGGAGAAAGGTGAATTGTATATGTATATTGGTATGATAATTGCATATTATACATATATATCTGTATATATGGCAAGCAAGATTGGGAGAGGAAGGAGAGAGTTGAGCGAAACTGGGAGAGGGAGGAGAGAGGCGAATTGCATATGTATATAATTGTATATTATATATAGGCATTTGTATATATGGCGAGCGAGATTGGGAGAGGGAGGAGAGAGGCGAGCGAGAGAGGGGGAGATATGAATTGTATATGTGTATCGGTTAGATAATTGCATATTATACATATGTATTTGTATATTCTGCGAATTATACATATACCAACGTGACTAATTATACAAACTCAAAGTCAACTCATGCAATTAATGTGTAATGTTTGTCGCGAATGGCAAGTACAACAAAGTATAACTATGATAAGTAATTAATTAGTATAAATTTGTTTAACCCCAAAAATGTAACTGTTCAAATATGGACAAAAAGCCCATATAAGTAAAATGAAATAGATTTCTCTTTTTCTTTTTCTTTTTTGAAAACAAAAAAAGTTAGGGTCGATTGGTAGACCGGGAGAGTGGTTAAATTTTTTTTTGAGAAACAGTTTTCTTTTTTTTTGGAAAACAAAAAAGAATAGGGATAGGTTGGTAGAAGGTGGCCGGGGGTGTGGTTGTAATCCAAAACATTTTTTGTCAATCCATATTCAACCTATCTAAATTCAATCGAATTCAACCATTTCTGTGTTCTGGAATGAGCACGGTAAGTTGTAAAATAGGGAACTGGTGCAGTTTCACCTGAAAATTTAATTAATACCCAAGAAAAGAGAAGAAAAGACAGTTTAATATTGCACAAATTGGATAATACAGAGTTGCAAATTGTAAATGTAGATATGAAAGAAGACGTTCAATCTTTCACCCAATCATTACTTCTCTAATTCATTATAAGATCACAACACTAAATTTGGGAGGCTCATATTCAAGCATCTCCAAACAAAATCACACTTCATTGGCTAAATTAGCCAACCCTGCTATTCAGAACCTCTCTCAGCCAGACTTTACACCAAAATTGTGCTTTGGAAATCTGTGGAGAACACGTTTCTACTACTAAACTACAATATTCATGAGTTCATAATATATGCTAATAAATAATAAATCCATGACTTCAGACTGGCGCGAACACGCTGGTATTTTCAAAGAGATCCATCAAGTCCAAAGTCTGCAAAACCAACAAGGTGGTCACTTGTTAGGTATGTTTAACACTCTACTCTAGACATCATACTTTCTCATAAGGACTCAAAACTACGAAATAAGATGTCATCTTACCTCGGGCACAGAGAGCTCAAGACGAAATTTGGGTCCATCATAGTGATGCAGCACTGGTCTAAAAGCATCTTCCTCCAAAGCCCTACCAAGTTTCCTGATACGGATCTTCACCTAGATGTTAAGCACACAAAACTCATAAGTATGATAAAATACTGGAAAAAAACTATAGAGAAATAAGTGGCAACTCATGATTACCTGAGCAGGGAACCTCGACTCTCCTTTACACTTCTTATCTTCCCAAGCAGTTGGATCAATGTTAGAACCTCCAAAACTTGTTGCCTGCACATAAAATAGTTAAAAGATATCCTAGGGGAAATTCATCATGCTTCTGATGATGCATTGATATTTGGCAGGAATAGTACATTTTTTAGCTATACTTCGGCACGTATCTTAATACTTCACAAGCCGTTAAGAGTATTAGTTTTAGTGCATTGTGCTTAATACTGTGCAGGAACAAAATTGTGTGGAAGCATGACGAAGATGAAGAAAATTGGACGAGAAGTGTCAAGTTTTTAAAGGAAAGAATAAAGAAATTAACAAGGCTATGCGATCTTCTTAGCTTGGACGAAACTGATGTTGTAATGGTCATGTAAGCAAGCAAAGGAGTAATTAAATGCCCATGAAACATAAATCTATCAAGGCTGCTGAACAAGAACTCAATGTGATGAAACCAAGCAAGGTGAGACTTTTAATAGTACATTTGGACGGAAAAAAACAGGTTTGAGTAAATCACTCTTGGCACGACATGCCAGGGTAATCTTCAGCCCAGTTTTCTTCGCCGAATTACATCAAGGGTATTTTTCATCTAGGGTTATTTCTACACGCTGTATAAGCACGGTAAACACGATGTAAGAGAAGTTCTTGGAGGTGCACAAGGGCTAGAAACGGTGAAAGCAAGATTCTCTGTAGGGTTTTTCTTTCTCTCTTTATTTCTTGCATTTCATAATTTCTTCAAAAGATTTTGTGCTTGCTGCCTTGAATATGTGTAGCTAAGCTTTATTTCTAGGGGTTTGACGGAATCTTTTATTGTTTGAATTATTCATGTTGTCTTTCTTTAATGAAACCAAGTTCATTCTGTTTATTCAACTGTTGTTTTGTGATTCTAATCAGTTGAAAAGGCTATCAACTAGTTGTGCATGTGGGATTAGAATGCTTGAAAAAGATTTGACTTGGGTTATGTTGAATAACTGTACTTTAAGAAGGATAGGGGTTGAATGATTTAACTTAACGGTGCCATCAAGAGGAAACTGGGGTCCTTATTGAGATCATTAGCCTAAGAAGGTCATTTTAAGATGTTAATCACTAAAGATATGAAAGAAATTGGTGGTAAATTTAGTCTCACAATCTACAGTCATTAACTAGACCTAATTTGAAGAAGACATGTTCGTAGTTCACTGCAATAAATAGGGAAATCTTAGCTCTAGATCTTTTTCTCTCTTTGAATTTATTCCATTACTCTTGCTTTATAGTTAATATTTATTCTTATTTTCTTAGTTTATAATTAGCTCTAAATTTATTACTATTACCTTATTTGATAAATAAACTGCAGATTATCCTTTTTATGACTAGAGTTCTAACAACTCATTTTGTTGCATAGAATAACTATAGCAGAAAAACTGAGCCCTTTAAATAAGCCACCTTAAAATGGAAGCTAGTAATGCTCATCCTTCAGCAATTTATAGTACTTGGACTAATTTTGATAAATATGACGGTAGTGAGTTAATACTCAAGGCAAAAGAAGTAGAATTGTGAGTCCATCACCAATATAACTGCATGTCTTCAAACTACTCGCCATTTTTAGATAACAAAGTCTTAACACAAAAGAATAGTTTCTCTGCTCTATGAAGAAAAATCTTATGATATTCAAAGCAACCAAATGCTTGTCTAAATATGCTTTTGTTTGTGCAATATCTTATGGTCTTTGACCGAATTTACATTATAAGGATGTGAACAAGTAAAAACAGATTTGTTGGACATACCTCAAAGATACCATGCAACTGGTGAGTAGTGTAATTGTAGAGGAACAACGGTAACCCTGGTGTTATTGCCCTCACAGAATCTTTGTACCTTGGAGGTAGACCTGCGAAACAACGATTATAGTTGAGACTTATGATAACAACAAATATATATAATGCCATCACCTCCTATTTATCAATGACTTCACCTCTCTCTATAGTTTGCTCTATCTACAAAATATAACTATATAAGGTTCCAGGTAATATCAAGTTAGGAAGGTATTATCGAGTTAGGATCTCACGTCTTCTCTCTCTCACAAACAACTAAAACTCTCTGATCGGCTGCAAATTGTAAAAATATCAACGCATGTAAAATGCATACAGACTGTTAAAACAACATTCCAGGTATAATAAGGTTAGGATCTAAGCTGCTTCGTTTTTCTCTCACGAGTGATTCAAACTCTGATCAGCCATCAGTGATAAAATGTCAAAGCATGCAAAATGCATACAGACCGACAAGTAAAGGACATGAATGTGGTGTTACATTATTATTTCAGTCACACTGTTGATCAAGCACGTTCAACATGCACTTAAGGTGTTTATAACCAAACGTATACAAGGCATAAATTCCACACTCTCATTATGCCAAACAAAAAAGTCCACACAATAATTAAAAGATGATAGAAATTACCAAACAGCTGGCGCTTCAAGTCTTCCTGCATTGTGTCATTGTTGCAAACAAAGATATACCCACCAAGAACCTCATTCCTGGGCAGTGTCTCAGCAGCAGGCAAAGTCTTAAACCTTTTGTCAACAGCATTGTTCCCGTTGATACTCTCAGTGTTTTTGTTATTGCCATAGCTGCTAGCGTCATTTGTGTGGTTGCTACTGAACT